CCCGCGCTGCCGCAGCGCTGCCGGGCTGGTCTCACAGCGACAGCCAGGGAACCTCCGAGCGCAGGGATCCCCCTCCGAGGGGAGACGGGGATGGAAACTTCATCCCAAACAGGCCGAAGAGGGGAGGGACAGATCGTCACCGTTCGCCTCTGAGAAATAAGGAGCCTGCGAATTACGTTATATTTAGTGCGGGGGTCTCTTTACCTAGAAGGTTGTTTTAGGGGATTAATGTGCTTTCAAGTTCAAGTGCTGCTCACCAGAAAGGATGGTTGGTTTTGATTCATAACATCAAATATCTTTCCCCCCTTCTTGTTCTGTTTTGGTTGTGCCCGCAAAATATTCAATCCTGAAGGCTGTCACTGGAAAGAGATGTTAGAAATGGTCCAGGTCTACATCAGAAAAGGTGTATCATGTCACAGGCATTCGTTCTCTTCCCATTTCCATGGAAACGTGCTAGCACGGACTTCGGCGGTGTCAGGCAGAGCAGCCTGGCCCCTCCAGCCTGGCAGGATCGAGTGGATTGTCTCCAAGAGCAGCTGCTGGCAACAGCTCACGGAAATGTGCCGTGGTTTCATAAGCTTTGGAAAGACCAGGTAGTCTGGTCCTTTAGAGTAACAGCACTTGATACATCGCATCAGAAACAACAGCTGGGACGAACATTTGACTTCCAACTTCTCCCTTCCCACCCTACCCTTCGTCTCGCCGTGCCCCGTCCGGTCCCGCAGGGAACACCGCACGCCACGGGCTGCAGTTTTTAATTTCCTGGGGGGCGGCAGGGGTGGAGAGCACATCTTGTGGCGGTTGACAGGCTTTTTGTTCTGCGCCAGTCCTTTTATTAACCCCCTGCTAGATCATTCCCTGTCTGTGCTGAGCTGCCCCCGCTGCGTTCGTGATGAGAGTGTTTGTAGCAGCAGGGCTGCCGTGGGAGATTAGGGGATCCCGCGGCCCGAGCGGGGCCGGGCGCTGTGAGCCCGCGGGGCTGCCGCAGCCTCGCCTCCATCTGCCCCTGCCGCCGGCACAGACACCTCTTATTAACCCCGGGGCGACAGCAGTGGCCCGGCTGATCCCCCGCCGCCATCCCGCACCTCCCGTGTCCCACCTGGCGAGGGAGTGGTGGGCAGGCTGCCGGCGGTCCAGCCTGTTGCGGATGGATAGGGATGGGAAGAAGGTGAAGGTGATAGGGAAGAAGAAGGTGATGCAAGAGCATAGTCTGCCACCCCTCCGCACTCTGCCATCCCTCAGCTTCACCCAGCCCTTTTTACCCATTGTACATCTTAAGCAAAAGCAAGTGTTTCCACTCAATAATCTTGTCCAGTTCTCCTTCTGTATTTAGGGCCTCAGCTCTGTAAAACATTTATCCCAGACCTGGGACTGCAGAATTTATGGGAGCAATTGAGATCTTTCTGGGCAGTTGTTTCCTTTTCCTTTTGGATCAGACTGCTGGTGGCAGTTGATTATTCAGACAAATTAATTTGGGATGTACACACAAGTTCTAATTAGCTGCAATTATTCACTTATTTTTCCCCTGCTTCCCTCCTACATCGCCAGAAATGAAGAAAATATCACCCTAACACAGTGTGCCCTGCAACAATTATCCCCCAGGCCAGTCCTGAACCTCTCAATCTACGATCAATACCTTCATCTGTCAGCCACGATTAATTAAACGCAATCCCACTTTCAGGGCTTTGATTCATATCACCCCAGAACAGCTTACTGGGTATTATAATCCAGACGTGATTCTAATGCTGTCCTCAAGTGCAGGGGAGGGGCTGCCTGAGACAGCCCCCAAAGTCATTAAAAGCCAAGCAATAGAGGGGCTCTTGTGAGGTCAGTGATGAGTAGGTGGGACTGTGTTCTCCTCTAGGGCCCAGCTGCTTCCCAGGGGAATAATGCTGCTGGAATCAGACTGGGGCAAGGCTGCTGCTCTGGGTGAGGAAGGGAAGCTGGGTTAGGCCCAGCATGATGGTTTTGTGCTCTGTGCCATCTGTGTGGGTGTGTTATGTCCTGCAAAGGCTTCTTTTATTGGCCTGTAGTTGCAATTTTGGAATTTGATACGGTTCTGAACAGTAATTCGATATCCAAAGGCTGTTCTGAGCTTCCTGATGCTGGTCTGTGATGGTCCAAGTCAGAGCTCCAGAGATGTATAACAAAGCTCTTAAAAAACAATAAAATTGTTTTACTTGAGATTCTTCTGATGCTTTTAATAACCCTCTACTCTCACATGGAGTGGTAAAAGCAAAGAGGGACGTAGGGCCAAGCCACACATTGGCAAAGCAGGGGCTGGATCTGAGATTCATGGCTCCCTCTCCTCTCCGCTCTCTCACTCAGACAGGAAAGCAGGTCAGATCTAAAAGGGGTGTTTTGAATCTGTTCCAGGTCTTAAACCTGGGAGCCCGTTCCCTTTTTGCTGATGCAGGCTGTGTGTCTCAGCCAGCATCCTCTCCCAGGATTGCTGCCTTCACATTCCTTTTTAACTCTGATTCACAGTCAGGAGTCTCCTTCCCGGATGCCTGTTCCTTGCACCTTCACCCTCAGCACTTCAAAAGCCTCAGATCCAGCCTCCAGGAGTCTGAGGGCAGCTGCTGTTATCCACGGAGGGCAGGCAGCTCAGCAAATCTTCAGTGATAAGGGAGAATGATTTCCAACTTCAAGCCACCTGGAATAAAGTGGAGCTGATGATGTTGCAGGGAGTCGTGACCTCAGGTCTGGGAACAGCAAATCTGGCTATGTTTGAGCTCTCCAGCAGCCCTCAGTGTCCAGTTTCATCAGTGCAACTGTCTGGGGGTTTCCAGGGCATCTTCCAAGTGATAGATGTGTTTTGTTTTCTGCCCTTGCAGGACAAATGGCTTCAGAGCCATAATCAAAGGGGAATGGGCAAATGCCGGAGGTCAGCTCGGGATTTGTGCTGGATCTGCTGGAGGAGAGCCCAGTGTTTGCACAGCACAGGGAGGAGACTGTTCCCAGGGCTGGAAATGTTACTCTTGGCCTTCCCAGCAAAATTTACACCTTGATTGTACATAAGGGAGGGAGGGAGGGATGGAAAACCTTCCACTCTGCCATGTCCAGGTCCAGCAGGGCTGGAGCCCAGAACTGCGTGAGGGAGCTGCAGAGCTCACCACAGCCTTCACGTGGGAGTTCATTCCAGTTCAGCGAGGCAAGGGATAATTCCATGCCTGCTGTCCACACAGGGTTCTACTGTTTGAGTTGTCCCAGTGTGCCTGTTGCATCCAGGAATGATTAAAGCTGGAACATTTGCCTGGCAAATTTTGTGAGTTCAATACGAGGTTCAGTTAGGGAAGAGAAATGAGAACGCGCAGCGTGCTTGGCGCTGCGTCTGCCCCTCTGACAGACCTCACTGAGAATTCACAGTGGCTTTACAGGGAGGAAAAACTGCGATGTGAAACTTGAAAAATAAATAATTAGTTGGATTTTGCTGCCTGGTTGTTTCTACAGCCTTGTTCTCGCCTTTTGCTGGGGATCAGAATGATACCCAGGCTGTTGCTTTATCTGCACTTTAAGCTTCAGCTTGTAAAGAGCAAAATCTCTGTGATCAGAATGATTTTAGGTGTATGCAAGCCAAAAAAATGCCAATTTCTCTGCTACCCACCTAAGAAAACGGAGTGGTGGGTTTGTAATAGAACAATAAACCACAGTGCCTTTGTGGGTGCAAACTGTTAGCCTGGGGTTCCCTGCAAGACAGAGGAACAAAGGCCACTTTGCTTTCATCAGCCACTTGAGCAGCACAGACCCCCCCGCCGCCCTCCCGGGGTGAAAGACTCTGCTGGTGAGTCTTTATTGCCAGGAGAAAATGAAAATTATACACAAAATACAGACGAGAAAATTCGCATCTCTGCATTTGAGTGCTGTGCTGGCTATGACATCACTGGGAGCCAATCAGCAAGCTCCCTTTGTGTCTGGCTTTCTAATAAAAGCCACTTCATCAGAGTAATTTGCAATAATAATTTATTCACCTTCTAGGAACGGCACCACCTGACTCCCTGAGCAGCCGGGGAGAGCGAGCGCGCCAAGGTCTGGAGCCCCAGGTGTGGCTGTGCCCTGGTCGAGTGCAGCTCCAGCTCTGACGTGATCGGAGTTGCCTTCAAGTTGCAGAGAGTGGAAGTGACCACTTGTGTTCATTAATTACCCCATGGCTGAGCACACTCAAAGGTGCTCAGTGCTGCAGGCACCCAGAGCACAGGATGGTCCCCGGCAGGAAAACAGGCTCTGGTAGAAAGTGTGGCTCTGGGGCCACATGATGGGGCTTTGCCAGCCTGGGCAGGGTGGGAGTGCTCCCCTTGCTCCACAGGGTGTACAGGGACAAAGGGCTGCTTTGCATGGACACTGGGAACAATTTGGCCTCTTGAATTTGAGGTTTGCCTGAGTGAGGTGCAGGGCAGCCTATGCTGGAGGCACAGAGAGAAACCAAGGCACCACAGCAGTGTGTGCAGTTCAGTTCCCTGGTGCTGCACAGGGACAATCTGAACACATGGGAATGTCATGGGAATGGCCTCCAGCAGTTGTGTCCCTCAGTGCAGCTCCGAGGAGCCTTCTTCGCTGGCTGGGATAGCTCACAGCTCCTCTGTGGTGTCAGACATGGCCTCCATAGCTCTACAAATGAGCACAGGCCCCACTAAAAAGAGCAGCAGTTTGTGGGATCTCTCTCTGATTCCCAGGGAAACGTTTCTTTAAGCGAGGTCCCGCAGCACTCCGGGGCTGAGCCAGCCTGTTGTGCAGGAGACGTGGGCACTGCTTGTCCCACATGTCTCTAGTAGGAGCTTCACTGTGCCAGTGTGTTGTGTGGGAGGCTCTTCCAGGGCTGTGTGTAACTGCTTGTGAAGAGCACATAGGGTGTATATTTTGGTGGTGTGAATTCCCCTAATCAGGCTCTGCACACACAGTGCTGGATTTGGAAGCAGTGCACGGACGCACTAAACAGAGACCATGGAGAAAACCAAAATACGAGAGCACTGTCAGCCTGAATGGTTTGTTTTATTTCACAGCGAGAGAAAGCAGCAGAGCTGGGAACAGCAGACAGGTGTCCTGAGTCATCTCCAGGCAGACACACCAGTACAACAGCAGCACGCAGGAGATGGAGATCTCAGTTGAAGATGCAGTTGTTTGGTGGCAGAGTGAGGGGGTGTTCTCACAGCACCCCTCCTCTCTGGCTGAGCTGTCAGTGTTGTGTCTACACAGCCTTTGGAGATTTTGAAATTAAAAAAAACACCCAAATCCAAGTAATTCAACCAGTGGAGTTAATATGCTCTGTAACTCCTGCTGTGAGGAGGAGGCTTGTATCAGGGGTTTCTCTGGAAGTTATCCTCATCCTGTGTACCTGATCCATTGGTCCTGGGGAGCATGTGGTGATGAATAACCCACCTCTCAGCTGTTCCCTGGGGAAGTGTTTAGCCAGCAGTCCTTGCTGTGCTTATGGGGTCTGTTATGATTCACCTTGGAGGAGCTGCTTGAGGAGGTACAGCCTCGTCAGCTTCTTGGGAGGCTCCCAAGGACCATTCCCTGTTCCCAAATGGCTCTTGGGGTGCTGGGAGGTACAAGGAGCCACAGGCAGTGTAAAGGAAGGTTCAGGGTGAATATGTACTCCCCAAGTAAATCTACATATGCTTCCTTGGATGTGATAGCAAGCCTGAGGGGCCTCAGTGTCTGCAGTAAGAGTGGGGTCTGTGGCCCCTTTCTGAATCTGGGCTTTCCAGATTTGCCATTCCAGTCCCTCACGGGGGTGGAGATGTTTCCTTGGGTGTCTCTGGGACCACCTGTGGCAACCAGGAGACCCTGGCTGCAGCCCACCCATGGGTACCCCAGGCTGGCAATGAAGTGTGTCCTTGCTCATGATCCCTGAGAGACCCTCCCACCGGCCCAGACCAGCACTGTGACAAACAGTCACACTGATTCGGTGACTCCAGGGACCCTGCAGCTGCAAGGCAGCCCTAGCCCCTACTCCCATACTGTAAAGCAGCACTGGGAGCTTTGGGAAGTGTTTTCCTGTTTGGATTTCACCCATTTATTTTGTTAGGTTGAAGCACAGCAGAGATAACTGGGGAGGGGGGAGGGCTGTGGTGCTGCCCCCAGCCTGTGTCTGTAGGACCCTTTTAAGTCTTGTTTATTGATTTACTTTGGAACTACATCCTTGGCTCAGATGAATGCAATCAGAGGTGGCAGAACTCCAGAGCAGAAGAGTTTATAACAGATTTTCTAGGAATTGCTTGTCATATCTGAAGGGAAAATGGAAGGGTAACATAAACACACACAAAGCCTGGGGATAATGGCTATTACTGTGTGGAGACAGTGGTCTCAGAGCCCAGAGTGATCTGATGAAGTCTTGTAGTGGGAATTTGGGCTAAGCTGTGCTTTGCAGACTGAATTTCCTTGTAAATGGAGCTGCATATAAAAACCTCTGAATTGCTGGAATGGGTAAGCAGCACCCTGCAGGGGCCAGGCCACCTTGTCCTGACTAACTCTGCATTTCACAGAGCCTGGCCTTGGGGTAACCTCTGCCACTCACCCCTGGGCCCAGCTCACTGAACTTTGCCTCTGGGGCTTGTGCCAGACAGAGATGTTGAGGCTGCTCAGCCCATCACAGCACCACAGCAGGGCTGTACAATATCCTGCTGCCAACAGGCCGCAACTTTAAACCTTTAAACCCCAAAGCAGTTTGCCTTTGTTGTGCACTCACAAACAGAAACAGAACAATGTTTACACCACTTACTTTAAGGGTTAAGTGCCTCACCTGCTCTTCTCCACTGACTTGGCCAGGCATTTCCAGGTTGTAAGACATCTGGCTTGTTATTAGCCTCAGATTAGGCAGCAGCAAAGTTGCTTAAGCCTGGTTCAAGCGCCAGAATGGGTCCCTTTAATGCAGCCCCTTTGTTTTGTACTCATTGTTCCACTGGTCCATTCCCAGCCCCCCTTCCCCTCACTCTGCCTGGGGCTTGCTAAGAGCCTCTCTGCCTAGAAATGGATCCTCTTTTTTTCAGGCTCTCTTTGCTGTCTCCAGCTCTCAGGGTGACTGCCCAACACCTGCAACCCCCCCATCCCTCTGCAGATTGCCTGAATCCTTCCCTGACAAATGAGGGGCCATTGCCAGTGACAAGGTAACGGGGCCGTTCCCTGCGTGCTGCCTTCTGCTTCCCAGCCAGCTCCAGGTAATGGGGGAGCTCAGGCTGTGGCGTTTGGCCAGCTGGCTCTGGAACCTGGGGTCAGCTGGGGCTTTCAGGATGCCACTGCTCCTGCCCCTGCAGTCACAAACATGAGCTCTGGCTCTTCCAGCGCCTGGGAAGCAGCTGAGTAACACTGGGTAGGCTCAGCCTCCCACACAACTCCCTGCCAGCTACAGCTGTGGGGTTGTCTTTTCCAGTCTATGGCTACCAACAAGGTGTTTTGCTCTCTCTCTGGGTTTGGCAGTGACAAGTCTACTTGCTGGTGGGGGTGTGTTATTCCCCTCTGCTCACCGAGCAGGACAGGGTTGCCCCTGCCTTGATGAGGCTGTGCCTGTCCTGCTTGACAATCCTCAAGTACTGTCAGCTGCTTCACTGCTCCATCCTTGGCCATTTGCCCAGCCCTCCTCTTTTCCTCCTCTGCATTCCCTCTCTGGGTGACCTTATTTACAAATTTTGCATATTTAATCTCCTGCTGATGACTCACAGAGCAATCACTTTCCTCCTAGCCCGTCCTGCACCGTCCAAATTAATTCACAGACTGCTTTCTGACAGCCCTTCGTGGACACCCACCTACTGCCTTCAGCTCAGGGGTTTTTAAATCTCCTTGTGCTTACTCTTCCCTGCTCCTTTCTTGATTCTCTCTTACCATCCACTCAGCCCCTCTGTCCTCTTTGACTTGACCTGTCTCTAAATACCCATATCTGGGCTCTGCTGAAAACTAGATGGTTCTGCGCAAAGGTTATCTCTAAAATCCAGCTCCTCCTCCCTGTCTTCCCAGATGAAATCCCTTTGGGATGCCCAGGTTTTTGGAGCAATCAGATTTCTGCCACACTTATCAGTCCTGTGCAGAGCACCTCACACCTTATCATGGGGATTTTCCTGGAGCCTCTGGCAGTGCAGTGTTAGAGGGTCGTGCAGAGCCTGTCTCACCGATCCTGTCACCATCTCCTTCTCACAAGCCCTGGAGTGCCTGTGCCTTCTGCAGACGGCCTGTTCTCCTGGCCCTGCTCCATCCAACCAGCAGCTACATTTTCCACTGCAGAGGTACCGAGTTGTCCTGCCAGCCGTGCCAGTTCCAACGTGCCACCGTGTTTCTCTCCCAGGTTACTCCCTCTGCAGCAGAGGAGCAACCTGGAAACACTAACAAAGCCTTTTCTGCTTCTTCTGGATCCCTCCTAAAAACTACTGGGCTACACTGCCAGCCCTCAGCAGCTGCTCCCTAGTGTCTGCCTTCGTGCCTGTCTGTGCTCCTTTACCTGCACGGAGCACTGTACAGTCCCTTTGTGTCCCCCGAGTGTGTCCTTGGGATGTGCACACCCTCCCGAGCTGGGCTGTCCCTCTGTGCCTTCCCTGCAGCTTGCTCAGCAAGAGGACACCCTCATACAGCCCATAACAAGGGAGGAAAGTGTAATCATTGAAAGCCTAAATGATTAAATCTGGTCATTTGGGTTTCTGGGAGCAGCAAACACGAGATTGGTTTCGGGGCTTGCAAATCTGCCAATTCCCAGGCACATTGTTGTGTTGCCTCTGTCAAGCACAGCAACTCTGGCTCTCCTCCCACAGATTATCCGGGCATGCAAATGACCTCAGACAGATACACTGTCATTTTCTCATGCTGTGATTTTACTTACACCCCCCTGTGGTACATGACAATAAAATTACCCCTCTCATTCCTTTCCCACAGACAATCTTGCAGCATGTCAGTCAGTGTCACGTGAGCAGCCCTCCATCCATTCCTCCTGGGACCTGGGGGGTGATTTGGGAAGGATCTGTTGTGCTGTCAGTCACCTCTGTTTGCCTTTAGGAGAGGCATTCTGGGTTCCATGCTGTTTCCTCTTGTGCCTGCACGACTCTTTGATCACAATTTGACTCTCAGGCCTTTGGAATCGCAGCTGCCCTGTAAGGTTTGCCTGTAATCCTGGTGACATGTTGTTTCCTGACAAGCTCTGGACTCTACTTGCTCCCAACTCTTGATTAACTTGTGATATTTTCTGATGGCCTCCATGATTCTGCTGTTGCCACAGACTTCCTGTTTCTTACCTGGATTTAAGTGCTGATTGGGTCTGAAATGCCTCTCACCTTCTCTGTCGCTGTCATCTGACCTTCCACATTTTTACTTTAAGATTTCAGTATTGAGTCCATGTCTCTCTCTCATTTTTGTCCCCACAACATACAACCCGACCTGCACCAGTAATTTGTGTGGAGAGCCTAGACCAGCCTGCAGCACTCACCAGCACTTGGCAACAAGGTCCCTGTCTGGAAAACACAGGCAACAGAGCTCTGACGTGCCAGCAAGGTCCCTGTGCTTTCTCATCTTGCTCCCCAAAAGACATCAGACACACACTCAAATGTACACTCGGGGGCTGAGTGTGAGTTGCTCAAGCCAGGATCAGAAATGCTTCCAGGCAGGAAGGTTTGTAATAAAATGTTTCTCCTCTTCCCGTTTATTAGACAGTGTGTGCTTCCAGGAGCAGGATGTCAGGGTTGGCTGCCAGCTGCAAGCCAATGGCCACGTTGTACTTCCCAGGCTGGACCCTAATGGGGGGACAACCCCATGCCAGTGGGGTGTGGAACTGCTCCAGGAATCCTTGTCTGCAGGAAAACCATGTGTCGTGCAAGTGATGGGAACAGGGAGTGGTTATGGACAACTGTTCCTGAGCATTTCAGTGTGTTTGGTGGACGTGTCAGCTCAACCTCGAGGAGGGGCTTTTGGGGAAAAAAAAACAAAACAAAAAACAGTAGGTCAGTGCAGTGGGATTTCCAGCCCTTGGGCAGTGGTGACTTCTATAGACACAGAGAGCTTTCAGTGGGTTCCAATCATAAAGTCATAGAATGGATTGGGTGGGAAGGGATCTGAAGGCTCATCCTGTTCCACCCCCTGCCATGGGCAGGGACACCTTCCACTAGCCCAGGTTGCTCCAAGCCCCATCCAACCTGGCCTTGGACACTTCCAGGGATGGGGCAGCCACAGCTTCTCTGGGCAGCCTGTGCCAGGACCTCACCACCCTCACAGACAACAATTCCTTCCCAATATCCCATCTAACCCTGCCCTCCAACAGTGGGAAGCCATTCCCCCTTCTCCTGTCCCTCCAGGCCCTTGTCCCAAGTCCCTCTCCAGCTCTCTTGGAGCCCCTTTAGGCTCTGGAAGGGGCTCTCAGGTCTCCCTGGAGCTTCTCTTCACCAGGTGAACACCCTCAGCTCTCCCATCCTGGCTCCAGCCCTTGGAGCATCTCTGTGGCCTCCTCTGGACTCGCTCCAGCAGCTCCACATCCTTCTGCTGTTGGACTCTGCTGGTGGCAGCTCTGCAGGGGGGGTCTCACCTGAGAGGGGCAGAATTCCCTCCCTTGACTTGCTGATGTAAAAAATGCCCTGTGCAGAGGCCACATGTAGATCAGGTAACTTTTTAGAGATCTGAAAGGTCTGAGCATCCAAGGATACCCTCTGGAAAGAGGGAAGGGAGTGCAGCCCATGACAGCTGAGGAAGACAGATTGTCCACAACAAAGAGGAGTGTCCAGCAGTGGGAAAAGCTCCCAGAACAGGACACAACTCCCTCCTTGCACTGCCTGCCCCAGAAAAGGGATCGTGCAGGTGTGTTTTCCACCCGAGTGTACAGAGCCCGTGTGAATGCTCGGAGTTCACTCCCTTCCTGCCTCTCCTGCTCTCTGGCAGCCAGGGAAAAGCACTAAGGGGGAGTGCACCAAGCTTGCCCTGAAAGCAGGGACTGAATCAGACTGCAGAGAGAAATGACTTCCATTTTTCTGTACTAGTTTTCGTGTTTGATAATATCAGACCGACCTCCTGCTCAGACGTTCCAGGAAATTTAATGACCGACTGTGAGGAGGGACCTTGGCTTCACCTTCCAGGCTTGCAGGAGCTGCCAGACTCATCCCTGGCACGTGCAGCAGCACTGATGTTACCTGGGAAAGTTTTCCTAGATGCTTCTCCTCCTGCCTGAATTCTGGGTAAACAGGCTTCACAAATCCCTGTTTGTACAGGCAGAAAACGTCATTACTCCATTCAATTATAAGCCCAAACTTAAAAATTAATTAGGGCAGGTATTAATTTAAGCAGGTTTTGCTCAAGTAAATATTTTCCGTTTTGGAGTCTAATCTACTCACTTAATAATCTAAAGCAATTTTTTTTTTATTTTTGGCTTGCAAAAAGAAAATAAAATAATGTCTGTTCCATTAGGAGCTGCCACTGGCTTAAGAGGATTTTACTCCCGTTTTATGGTTTGGTTCAAAGAAAATTTATTCTTGCAATAGATTTAATGATTCTTAGCTAACATTGTCTTCCCAGCTGCAGTTGGACTGTAATAAAAAAACCTTTGGCTTTTGTTAGACTTGCACATTCTTGGCTGCCAATAATGATTAATCTTGCCCCCTACAAGATCATCTTATTACTTGGGTTTGACTTGGGAGCTGCCGTTCCCTCTGGAGCTTGCTAAGGGCTTTCTCCCAGAGCAGCTCTGGAGCAGCGCAGGTGTGACCTGCTGAGCCTCCCTTGGCCGTCTGTCTCTGCCCCTTAATTGCTGATCTGTGGCACTCCTCTGCACAGCAGTGCTATTTTGGGGATGACAGAGAATTAATTGCAGGAATTCCGGAATACTTCCATGCGTGGAAGGGCCCCGGGAGTCCCAGCAGGGAGGATTGTCTAGACAGACCCCTCGGTGAGGAGATGTGGGGGGTGAGGGCAGCTCTGACCCCTCGCTGACCTTGGGCAAGCACAGGGGGGATGCTGACCCTCACCCAAAACCAACCACTGCCACCTCTCAGCTCTGCTGAGAAGCCCTTTCCCACAGCTCCCAGGGGCACAGAGCAGGGATGCCCCTGGAGGGTGTAGGGCTGCTCTGGGTACATCTGTGACTGTTCCAGCAGATGACTTTGGGACATTGCCAAACACATGGGACTGGAGCTGCACGCTGGGACAGTGTGTGGGTTAATTCCTGGCCATTTGGGGTGTGTTTTAATGATTCATAGTAATAAACCCCCTGGGAATGGGAAGAGATGCTCAGCTGACTCAGAGAGCCCTGTGCCCTTAGCAGGACCCACGGGCTGACCAGTTTGTCACAGGAGGAGTGAGGGAATTTATGGTAGATGAATTTGCTGAGCTCTCCCTCCGCCTTTGCCCGTGGGATCTTTGGGCAATCTGCTCACACTGGAGGGGTTGCATGGAGGAATCTCTTCCCCCTGCCTGTGCTCTGAAGGGTGGCTGGTTGAGAAGTGATCCACAGTACCAAGAATTAAAATTGAAGTGGGAAATGCTGCTCATTCACCAAAAAATCCTAGCACCTGTTCCAAACTGTGCCTTCCCAGTGGGTTTCTCAAGGCTGAGGGAGCACTGGGGTATCCCTGAGGGTTGATGCTCCTCTGCAAGGACTGGGGTTTGAAGGTCCCTGTCACTGGGCCTGAGCCATGTGGGGTCAAGCAAAAATATCCTCAAAGTTCAGGTCAAGCTGAGCAAGTAATTTTCAGCCAAGGAATCCCACCCAGCACTCATGTGGGATTATAGCTTTAGTCCTTCTGACTTATTTTAAAACTAAATGGCTCAAGTTTTGATTCTGGAGAGTCTCTCACTCAGAAGTTTAGCTGGCTGACATGTTTGTAACTGCATGAAAGCTTCTGAAAGCAAAACCCCAATTTTCTTTGGGATTGGCTCTGAAAAATGTGCTTAGATTTGAGTTTTTTACTTCAGCAAAGGAACCTGATGATCTTTTGTTATGGCTTGTCCTGACAAATTCTGGGGTTTTTTTTCCCCTGTTTTATTTCTTTTAGCTCAGTCTGTGAGAGGTCCTGCAGATGCCTCTGACATTCCTGCTGGTTGGGATGTTTGCCTCTGCTGGGAGACCCCTCCATCCTCTTCCTGGTCAGGAAAGGGACACAGCTGGGCCCTGGAAGACCAACTGGGTGGAGAGTAAGGGCAGGACTGGTGCGGAGAGTGGAGTTCTTCTATGTTTGGGAGTAAATGTGGATGAACCTCCCTTGCCTCTTGCTGATGGAGCTCTGTGGTGTCCCTGCTTGCCCTTGGACACCAGATGGGTGAGTTTAACCACTTTCTTTTTTTTTAGAATCTTTGTACCTGTATTCATAGAATGATGGAAAGATTTGGGTGGGGGGGGACCATAAAGCTCATCCACTTCCACCCCCTGCCACAGGCAGGGATACCTTCCACTATCCCACGTTGCTCCAAGCCCTGTCCAACCTGGCCTTGGACACTTCCAGGGATGGGGCAGCCACAGCTTCTCTGGGCAACCGAGTTTGCCCACTTTCTTTTTTTGTTTTTTTAATCATTGTACCTGTGTTCCTTTCCAACCACCAGGTCAGGGCTGCCATGCCATGTATAGGGAGGATGTTTTCCCTGTCCTTGCTGTTCCAGCTGGCTGCCCATCCCCACATACCCCCCTTTGTGCTATTTCTGGGCTCAGAGCACTTATCACCTTCCTGAAGTGGAGGCCGTGTTTTCTCACGTCCTGCTCAGCTATTCAAGTAACAGAATGAACCTTCCAGTGTGAAGGGGACCGATCCAGGCTGGGTTTTGGGTTTAACCCTTCCATGCCTTGCCCCCAAGGCAGCCCCATGGCTCGGGCAGTCACGCTGTGTCTCCAGCCCACGCGGTCCTGGTCAGCCGGGTCACGGGTGTTCCAGCACTGCCCTGTGCACAGGCACTTCAAAGAGCTTTCCAGGGACAGGAAACAGGGCAGATTAAAGGCACACTGAAGCTTTTATTTTATGCCAGCACTTCGAAATGTTCTTACTGGCCTTTCTGAGGCCCCATTTTTAGCCATGTCTATAATGCAGCAGCAGCCTCTGGCACCGCACACCACGGCTCTGAGGCATGAGAGTCACAAGGCACTTCACATGTGTCTGAGAGCCAAGGGGCTCCAGGGAGGGTCAGGGCTGGCTCCTCCAGGACTGCTTCCTCTGCCAGCAGCCTCACCACCCCAGGCACTGCTCAGCAGCCCGAGGTTGGCTGTCCCTTGCCACCTTGCAGCCCAAGGACATGCCATGTCCCTCGGAGTGTGCTCTGGGAGGCAGTGCTGAGGCAGCCAGAGGTCCTGGCAGGCTGGGGGAGTGGGTGGTACTGGGGTTTTGCTGCCTCTTCTTTCCTTTCATGCCTTTGCAGCCTTTCCAGACATGCATCAGCTCCACTCCATCCCACAGGAGTGCAGCAGACAGGAGTGGAGTTCTTCCCACTGGGAAGAACACGGTCCAGCTGCTGTTCCTCCATGGTTTCTCCCCAGCAATGTAAACAGTTTACAGGGGACTTTGTAAACAGCAGATTTGTTTAGGATATTGTCTGCATTCCCTCCTCTGTGTTTCCTTGTTCAGCAGCACAGGGAATGCTGACCTGCCAGCTGCAGGGCTGGGGCTTGCCTTGTCAGAGGGGACAATGGTGACAGCCCAGAGGAAGGAGTCGTGTACACTCCTGCATTCCCTGTGAGCCTGGTGGAGTTGAGGGATCATTCAGAAACACCATGGCTGCATGGAAATGCTTCTGCATCCAGCAGAGAGGGAAGCTGGCATGGGATGGCATTGCAGGATGTGTTGTGTGAGAGAGCAGAGTGTATGTGAGCAGAAAGCCCCAGGGCACTGGGAGAGATGAGAACCCTTCAGAGGTGGGAGCTTCATCCCAGAAAAGCAGTGTCTGTTTGAAAAGTCTCAGAAAGTCACTGACTCCCTGTGGAAGCTGATTGTCCACCCAGGGAAAGGAGGCTGTTAAGCCAACTCATCCCATGGGATTAACACCTGAGGATGTCTGTGCTCCCTTCAGAGCTTCTCATGCAGGGATCCAGCCAGTGTTCCTCAGCACTGGCTCACAGAGCTGAGCTTCCCTCTAACCCCTTCAGCTTTGGAAAGGAGCAGAGAGAGGAGAGGGTGATTTCCACCTGACCTTCTGCACCTCCCCAGCAGCTCTGTCAAACTGAGCTGTACTTACCTCCCAGGAACCCCTGGCACCTCAGGGCACACACTGCACACAGGAACAGTGGGTCAGGGGGGCTGGAAATGGAGGTTGGCAAGTCAAAAAGAGGGTCAGAGGTGGGGGAGCAGCAAACAGAAAGGTTTAGAAGCAGTCAGGGGATGTTCCTCAAGCCCTCAGATGTTCAGTGCAGCTGTGGGTGAGTTCAGCCTTCCCTCTGCCAGTGAAACAACAGACTTTACAGAGGAGGGAGCAAAGCCCAAATGTTTCAACACACTTATTGTCTGGTTTCTTCTAATTTTCTCTTGTGCTTAAGCCTGAGCAGTTTAAATCTGTGACAGGCCCTTGAGTCAATGCCTCTGTGCTCGGGCATTCCTCATGGACAGGAGGGATAACTGGTGCAGGCCAGACTGTCAGGAACTGACAGCAGATTGTTTGGCTGTTTGTTTGCCCCCGTTCCCTGCCAACCACAAGTTTGAGGCTTGAATTTAAACATCCTGGATAGAAAGGAGAAGATCTCCAAACGACAGCTCTGCTGCGTTGCCAGGGAAGTCTTGGATCCAGGAGACACAAACAGCTCCACAAAGCCAAACATGGGGAGAAGCAACCTGACCCCTTTTTCCACAGCATTGGCTTCCCAAGTATGTGGCTGCTGGGTGCAGTTCAGAGGTGGCCTCCACCTCCTTTGTCAGTGTGACCATGTGAGGGGCTGGTGACCCACTCTGGCCGTGTCCACATGGTCACCATTATTAGGAAGAAAAAGACAGCAAGTTCTTTCTGCTTCCCTCTTCTTGCTTCCCTCAGAGCCATGGATGTATGGCAGGGACCCAGTCTGGCCCGGGGAACACTTGGGAGGGCTGAATTCTGGATGCTTCTGGATGCTTTAAATACCACATAAAACCCTGTTTGCCTTTGGGGGCTGTGGGTAGTTGAGCACTGTCCAGCAGAATCCTGTTGATTTTCTGGTGAGTTTTAACTGTAAATATTTGAACAAAAAATTATCTTGTGTTAACCTTAGAGACATTTAATCTCTCTGTACATAGGGAAGTCTGGCTTGAGTCACGAGTGGAAATGAGAGTGGTAGTTTCAGGCGATTCCCCAGTGGATGTTTATCCATGTTGGCACAGGATGCCCATCAGGAATGGCAGCTTGTTCATCAGGAAGGGCTGAAAGGACACCTGGAATGACAGGGCAGGATGGAGGTGTGTTGGCTGGTCCTGAACAGGAAAGCAGGAGGGCTCCTGGTCATGTTGGATGACCGAGGTGGCAGGGGGAAGGCACAGGGCTGTCAGGAGAGCTGCTAGTTCCCAAATCTTCCTGTTTCATTGCAGAGTCTGCAGTTTGCCTGTAGCTTGGGACCAGTTTTGTTATAAACCCAAAGTTTAAGCAGATTTTCAGCTCTGCTTTAGGTACCATCCCCCTCTGCCCAGCTCAGCTCGCTGACCCGCATTGTTCCCTCTTGGGAGGATGATGGATGTTACAGGAAGGGCTCAGTTCACTCCTTCCTTCTCCTGGACTCTTAACCTTGTCATGGTGCAGAGGAGGGAGGAAGCTGCCTGGGAACCTCTGCCTTCCCTCCACCTCCTGTCTGCCTAATTCATCCCTGGAACTCTGCTACAGCCTGGGATAGGGATGCCGGGATACCAGAGGGCAGAGCTGAGTCCAAGGGAAGGAGTGCACATTAACCAAGGAGAGGCTGAGCAGATGTGTGTGTGGAGGGAGACAGCAGCAGTACCAAGGCAGAACTGGGAAAAGTGGGAAGAACTGTCTGTCCATGGGGAGCTGATGGGCACGAGGAGAGAGCTCCCACCGCCCCCAGACCATCCTGGGTTCGGACCAGGTCAGGACCAGGGCACTGACAGAGCCTCTTGCATCCTTCAAGCGCTGATGTCCCAGCTGAGGAGGAGCTGACAGCTGCCCCCTGCAGCCCTCAGGTGCCTTGAAATCCTGCCTTCCTTTACTGTCAGTTAGATCCTTTGAGTGGAAAATCAGGAAGCTTCTCCCCCGATTCACCTGCTCAGGACACCCAGGCAGGTGGGTCTGTTCCGTTTGTGCCCAGTCCAAAGGGAGCGAGCGCAGGACGTTGTTGGGCTGAGCTGTGCCTGGGATCCCATCAGAGAGGGAGCTATTCCTACACAGTCCAGCTCAGCTCCATCCCTGTTTCAGGCCTTGGCCTGGTGTGGCTGCTCCGTGTGAGGCACTGGGAGCTCGGCTGTGTGTGCAGGCGCTGGCGTTGGAGCTCCAGCAGGCTCTACCAATTCCCATTTAGGTTTGACCTTTTGCTGGATATTAAAGCCTTGCTGTGGCTCAGTGAGATGAACACTGCAGCAAACACAATTCTTCAAGATGAAATATCTCTCCAGTGGGTAATTCCAGCCTCATTTGAGGGTTGTTGTATTTTTTTTTTCCTTTCGTGCTGAATCATTTATTCCTGGTGTCAGGAAGGTGCAGAATGACTTTCCCCACTGGCTTTCAGAGCTTCATTGATTCTTCAACTCCCACTCCTGCAAATCTGCTGGAGCAGCAGCCCTTTGCCTCTCCAATTTTCCCAGGAGGGGAGTGGGGAAAGGGAGGGTCTCAGGACTGCGGGAGCTCTTCAGGGAACCCATTCACGGTCTGGGGGAGATGCCATCATATTTTAAGCTCCGTCTTCCAGGGACAGTGTTCTTTATTTATAGGTTTTTTTGCCTTAAAAGCTTTCTCAGCACTCAGCTGTCTGTGTGGGGAGGGGGGAGCAGGACACATTTCCCTGAGATTGTACAGAGCACCATAGACCTTTGGCCCTTCCTTCTTTGTGGTTCACTGCTGCAGCTGAACCCCTCTGCTCACGATAAGTATGGATCCAATCCCTTAGTCTGATCCCAAAATATGTGTAGAGCACAAATCCAATCACTGCCTGGCTGCCAGGCAGCAGTGACTGAAGCCAGGCCTCCTCCTGTCATCATCAATCCCTTTGCAGTCCCGGATCTGAGTTCACACCTCATGTTCTCCAGTGCAGCTCCTTGGAGACAGGGAAAGGCTCTTCTGCCAGTGATAGGGGGAGATGGGAGGAGAAGAGGCAGTGAGACCTGGAAAAAACAGGGTCCCAGAGCCCCATGAGAGCTCAGGAACACAACCCCGG